GTCATGGGACAACATCATCTTCTTATTGTTGGCATTCTGCAAAATTGTTTTGTTCCATGGGAGCCAGGAGTATCGAGGAGGGGGGTGCCCCAAGAGACAGATGGAGTCTGACAACTGTCCTGGCAGAAGGAGAGATCAGTCTGTCCACGAGGAGACCCCAGTCGCTGCTGGGTTCAGAGGCCCAGACTCTGAAGACAGAATCACCAAGAACAAAGAGACTCCTCCCAGCAGCGGATGTGAATTCCAGTCTGGGAACCTGCAGAGAGAAACCAAGGCCAAGGTGAAATGTAAGGATAGCTTCCCCCTTCCTTCCAGCTCCCTTCTTCCCACACTCAAGATGTTAGAATTAAGCAATGTTCTTAACCTTTTCTTCCTTTGACAAGAAAGATCCCTGAGACTGCAGAGATTTTCTCTAAGCTTAGGAAAAAATTGCATTTTACTTACCAAAAGCCCTTCTTGGATCTTAGTGAGAAGACAATAGGGTCGAATTGATCACTGCACTCCAACCTGGGTGACAGAATGAGATCCTGTCTCGAAAAGAAGAAAGAAAGAGAGAAAAGAAAAGAAAGAAAAAAAGGAAAGAAAAGAAAGAAGGAAGGAAGAGAGAGAGAGAGAAGAAAGAAAGAGAAAGAAAGAAAGAAAGAAAGAAAAAGAAAGAAAGAAAGAAAGAAAGAAAGAAAGAAAGAAAGAAAGAAAGAAAGAGAGAAAGAGAGAGAAAGAAAGAAAGATTACACTGATGTTCTCACATCAGTAATATGAGAATGGTTTGGAATCGTTTGATGTTATGTAGCAATGGCTAACTGATACAGCTACTTGCTAGCTCTTTGAATTTGGGCAATTTACTTAAACTTTCTAGGCTTTGATTTCTGTGTCTATAAAATAAGGATGATAATAATAGTAGCTAACTTATAGGAGTATCATGAGGATTACAGAAATTAACATATGTGAAGGTCTTAGAACAGTGCCTGCCACATACAAGCAGCTACCATTTTTTGAACACTTACTTCTAAGTGCTATGATAAATATTTTTCCTAAATGTTCTCATTGTCATCACAAAAGTCCTATGAAGACAATATTATTGTTATTCACATTTTATCGGAAAAAGTGAGGCTCTGAGAAATTGAGTAATGTGCTGCAGTTTACTCAGCTGATAATAGCGGATGTGGAACTTAATTCAATTACCTAACTTCCAAGCCTGCTGATTCCATGATTAGGTTATCCCACGCTGCCTGTGAGGCTGCCCCTTGGAACTGTGAGATTAACTGAGCTAAGGCAATTCTCCTCCCCAGCACGGAACGGTCCCTTAAGTGGCATTCCATTACAAATATAAGATTAATCCACACGTTGTTGCTTTTCTCAAATATTAAATTAAATCATTCTCCAGGTTACAGATCAAAACTTGAAAACCACCAACATTGTAAATCAAGAAACATCTTTTCTAAATGATGGGGACTCCAACTCCATTATCCAGCACCTAACCGCTGTATATCTCTTACCCTTAGGAACACACCTCTGTTACGTAAATTTCAAATCTTTCTTTTCTTCCTTAAAGCAATTTGAATATAACTGGACCAATTTAAAGGATTCATGACAGCAAATTATTTTGCAGTCAGCAAGGCAATAGGCCCTGACACTTTTTTTTTTTTAATTTGAGTTTTGCTCTTGTTGTGCCAGGCGCAATGGCGTGATCTCGGCTCACTGCAACCTCTGCCTCCTGGGTTCAAGCAACTCTCCTGCCTCAGCCTCCCAAGTAGCTGGGATTACAGGTGCGTGCCACCATGCCCAGCTAATTTTTTGTATTTTTAGTAGAAACGGGGTTTCACCATGTTAGCCAGGCTGGTCTCAAACTCCTGACCTCAGGTGATCTGCCCGCCTCAGACTCCCAAAGTGCTGGGTTTACAGGCCTGAGCCTCCACGCCCAGCCCCCGACACCTTTTTTCTCTCTTCTCTACAGCTTCCATTTTTAAAAGTAATTTCATCCCTATAAACTAAAGAATCTCGGTTTAATTCCTATACCTGCTGGGCTGTCTTAGTAGTGATATTAATAATTCTCATTTCTATTAAAATTTCACGTTTATTAAAATGCATTAATAAATAAAACTACAGTAAAACAACTTAAAGCCATTGGATGTATAATTCCAAAGGAAGAAGCCGAACTTTAAAAGCTTGCATTGCCTGGAATGGCCACAGTGAGGCAGTAGAAGGTGAGAGACAAGCGGCCTTGCACAGTCAGAGGATACATATTTGAAAACAGCGTTGGCTGACCTGGTTTGCAGGAATCCCATGGTCCCTGTAATACCCTGCCTTGCTTAATGCCTCCAGCCTTCCATTTCTTTATCTGAAATTCTGGAATCCTGTAAACGTCAGATGAAATATGGTATTGAAGCAGCTAAAAAAAAAAAAGTAGATTTAGAATCCTGAGTTCAAATTCTGATCCTGCCATTTTATTCAAAAAGTCAAAAGACTTTTTGACTTGACTAATGCCTACTGTATACAAATTACTGTACTAAGTACTGGGAATCAGATAATAATAATAGCCAGTAGTCATGAGGCATCAACATTGTGCCGCACACTTTTATTTCATTCAGTGTTCCCAGTGAAGCTTACTCTTATTATCCTCATTTTACAGTTGAGGGGACTGAAGCTGAGGCTTAAGCAACTTTCCAAGGTGAATGTCCGGGATTCCAACCCAACATTCCAACTCCACAGCTGGGACTGAAGAACCGCTTTGTTGTACTCTCTTCTGCCCCATCTCACCAAGGTGAATAATATGACCCTGACCTTGAAGAGCTCAGTTTAATAGGAGAGCAAGGGCCATGAAGAAGGAAGTTATGGAGGAATGCCATACGTGCTACAATCAAAGTAAGAACAGTGTGTCTTAGTATCATGCAAGTTGGGAGCAATTAATTCTGTACGTCTCTGGACATCTGGGAAGGCTTCACTGAGGAGGTGATGTTTTTGCTGGATTTTGAAAGTTGGCATTCTCCTCCTCATGCCTCAACCCCCAATTTTTTCTAAAAAAGAGGAGAAAGAGGTGTTCTAAGCAGACAGAACAGCATGTGTAGCCACACACACACAAAGAAAAAAAAAAGAGAGAAGGAAAAAGCCTGAGCGTGAAGGCCGTCCAGGCAGAAGATACGTCTGGAGAGGGACTTGGGTCAGGTCAGAGACCCCCTTGTGTGTCAGGATTAAAGCTGGACTTTATCTTAGAGTCAAAAGTGAACCACTGAAGGGTTTTAACGTAGCCACAAAGTGCTCAGATCTGTGCTTTACAGCTGAAGACTGGCACAGTGTGGAAAATGAACCAGCGCAGGGAGAGGCTGGGGTAAGGAGACGCGGTGGGAAATTGCGGTATCCCAGATTGGAGAGGATGAGAGAGTCCTCTAAGGAAGCCTCGGTGAGCCTGTGGAGAAGCTGGACCCATTGGGTCTGAGGGATTTCGATGTACTCAATACATGCATGTTAAAGGCATAAAGATGGAAGGAAAGTAGTAAGAAAGGGTGAGTGTTAGTACCTCCCTGTCTTCCTAGGTCCTCTGCTCTTTCTTCCCTTGTCTGTCATATTCCTCCACCCATCTTTCACAGACTGGACTCCCCCATGGCATAACTGAGTTCAGATCCCCACTCTGCCACTCACTGGCCGGCTGCCCCAAGCATGTCCCTCCCTCTCAGAGCTTGTTTCCTTCTCTGGATGATAAAGTGTTCAGACCCACTCCACAGAGCTATTGTAAGAACTAATGGAGGTCAGGGCCTGCCACAGTGTTGGTCCCCTTCTTCCTTCCCAGGCCCTTAATTTCAGGATCCTCCCTGGTGTCACCCACAGAATCACTCCATAGATTTGTGCTTAAGACGTGATTCTATAGGGCTTTCTACCCCATGTTCCTGAAGTCTGATCACTTTACTCAGACTATCAGTAGGGAAGAAATAAAGGTCCATGTAAGGTCCAGATCTGTGTATAAACAGATCATTCAACAGAGGAGAAACCATTTTTTTAAGTAGTGGTAATCAGAAAAAAAGGAGAGGGATTCAGTAGGATGAAAAAGGAGAACAGGCAGACAATTGGCAGAGAAAGAACAGACTTTGATCCTTGCCCACCTACCCCCAGGGTCTCACTGTGTCCCCCAGGCTGGAATGCAGTAGAGTGGTCTCAGTTCATGGCAGCTTTGACCTTCCCCACACAAGCCATCCTCCCACCTCAGTCTACCAAGTAGCTGGGACTACAGGCATGTGCCACCACACCCTGCTAATGTTTGACTTTTTGTAGAGACTGGGTTTTGCCATGTTGCCCAGGCTGGTGTTGAGCTCCTGGGCTTAAGTGAGCCACCCTCCTCAGCCTCCCTCTCTCAGTGCTCTCAGGCATGAGCCACCGCGCCTGTCTCCCTATCCCCAAATTCTTTCAAGCACAGCTCAACCCTTATTCCCTCGGCCCACGGAATGGAGCAGCCTCATGTACAGAGTGGCTTCATATACCTCATCTCAGATACTTCTATGAAATTATAAAAGGAATAATAATTTCTTGAATATAAATTACAAAAGATTTGTAATTGAATGTAATTACAAATTACTTTTAAAAGTAAAAATCCTACAAAAGTCACCACCTAACTGATGATGTCCTGCTACTTGACCAAGCGGTACTGACCCCTGCACTGTTACAGGTAGAACTGGGAATGGCTCATGCTGAGTCCCAGCCAGGTGGGCAAAAGACATGAGCTCTGAAATGACAGTGGGTTGAGCCCAGTCCAATCCACACAACAGCCCAGCACAAGTGGGGCCGTCATGAGCTTCAAAAGTCACTGACCACAGTGGCCCTCGCTAGAGCCCATCCCCTTCTCTTGACTCTATTAGGTACCAGGTGAACATCGAGCTCTCCCTGTACTTCTGCCTGTGTCGCGGAAGCTCACTCGCCTGTCCTGTGGAATTCCCAAAAGCCAGCTCCTCCCCAGAGCTCTCCACAACACTTCCCCTTTTCCCCTGACCCGCACAGCATTTGGAGACAGGATGTCATATTTGACTTTTGTTTTTATTTTATAAGAATGTAACATGCTGAAACAGGAAAATGGGGACTGCAAACATCATTCGTATCTAGGAAACCAGCTCCATTTGCCACAATAAATAAATATTTAAACAGTGAGGAGTTCCTGACAGGCTCCAAGAGGTTCCCAGCACATTCAGAGGTAGAGTCTGGTGGAGAGAGGGAGACAGTCAGGCTGAAACCCCTGCTGAGATTCTCCAGTAGAGGCAAACTGAGATTACAATAATAAATAACAAGAGCACCAACAATAACAAAAACAATGTTATGACAATCACACAAAACCAATGATACAATACACTTAAATAATCTCCCGGAGGCGCTCATGGTGCACAGAGAACAATGTTGATGATCCTGGGCCACAAGGGGGCTGCCCTGGGTAATTTACCTCCAGCCCGGGCTCTGCTGCAGGAGTTCCCATTAGGAAATGTTTGTTCGGTGACGCCCTGAGGTGACAAGCAGGTTCTGATTATCCCCAGTCCTGCCCTTCCAAGCAGCCTCTCCCCCCAGCTTCTGCACTCTAAGGGCGCCATGGTCCTGGGCCACCTCTGCCCACTCCAGTGGTTCATCTCATGTCCGCAGGAAAGAAACACGAGGCTCCCCTTCTATCTCGGGGCATCTCTTTCTGCCTGTTCTCATACCACAAAAAAACACTGGCTGGATTTCAGCAGGACTCTCAGGGACTGCCAAGAGATTTGTTTCCTAGGATCCTTTTCTGCCTTGTTCCACACTGCGGGACATGAGAGCTGGAAAAGCCACTCCCCGAGGCCTCCACACTTTCTTCTCCTGGGCCCTGCCTCCAAGAGACAGCACAGAACTCAGAGAGTGCACATCCAGGAAAAGGCCCCTGGGGGGGCCTGCTCACAGGTGGACCCTGTTGCAACACAGGGTCAGGGGCCACCTGCAGGGGGTCACCCAGAACACTGAGGGTGGTTCAAGTGAGCCTCCTTTCAGGGCTCTCCACTGACTTGGAAAGGGCTCACAGGCCAGTGTTTGAGGTATAAATAGCTCGCATGGGGCAAGAGTCACATCAGCTTGCTGGCCTTGACATGACTGCAAGGCTGGACAGACACACAGGAGTGTTACAAGGTACAAGCTAAGGGACTCCGGGCCAGCCCAGAGGCCAGTGAGGAGGGCCAAAGGGGAAGACTCCACACGCAGGGTCCTTTCTGTGCCCAGAACGTCTGGGAATTAGGAAAACAGGATGCGACCAGAGTCAACTGAGCAACAGGCAAAACAGCTGATCTGGGTGTCTTTCCTCCTCTCATTTTCACAGTTCCCTTTATCCACGTTTCCTAAACCACGCTAGAACACTTCCTTCTCCGGTGAGAACGAGAGCCAGTGCTAACCCCGTGCCACCTTTTTTCCCCCACAGAGAGCCCCACCAACCCTCATCATTAGCCCTTATTCACAGGTCCTGGAAGTGGGTGGCCCCTCTCCAGCATGAGTCCCACAGTATATGAAGGAGAGATTGCTGCTTCCCAAACAGGCTGCTGGAGCGCTTTTTTTTTTTTTTTTTTTTTTTTTGTCCTCTTGCACTTGCTTTGCAGAACCTGCCTCCCACACAGGGGCAGCCACCTTGGGGATGGGTGACTCAACCTCTCTTCCCAGCTGGCTTCCTCACTGCCGTGGAGACTCAGGTGTGTGAGGGCTCGGCCAGGCTGCAGCTGGACGGAGTAGCAGAGGCGGCTGAGGCTTGGGCAGCCAGGTCCCGGTAAGCGGGTGACTTCAGGAAGCGTGGGTAGGAGTCCTTCTCCATCAGGGTACGTGTCTTCCCTTGAGCTGTGTCAAAGCATGTGGCTGTGACGGTTTGCAGGTTCATCCTAGTCAGCTCGCGGGTCTCATGGTCAATGTTGACCTGCGGGAAGGAGGACACGCACAGGGTGAGTTGGAGAAAAGGGTGGGCATGGCTGAGGGAGGGCCAACGGCAGGCTGGGCATTGGAAAGAGCACCAGATGCTGCATCAGGAAGTGGGGGCTCCTGAATTGATCACTAACTAGCTTTTCAGCTCTGGCCTTGTACCCACATCTGATCCACTGTCTGTCCTCCAATCTCTCAGAATTAACGTGAGGATCTATCAATAATTTATACAAACGCAATCCGCTTTCACCCTTTCTTCTACAGCAACCCTGCTTCCAGTTACTGTCGGCTCTCCTGGGATTTGCACCAAGGCCTCCTACCTGGTCTCTCTGCTACCTTACCCCCCACCACCATGGTCTGTTCTCTACCCGGCAGCTACAGTGAGCCTTTAAAAGCCCAACTCAGTTTGGTAGCACCTCTGTTGTCTCCTCATGTCTTTCAGAGGAAGAGCCAAAGGGGTTGCTGGGCCCCCGAGCCCACACCTGGCCATCCGCCTCGTGTCTGACCTCATCTCCTGCTCTTGCCCTGCTCTAAGCACGTCCACTTGCTCATCTGTGACTGTGACAGGCAGGCTCTGGCCATGGCATTTGCTGCTTCCTGTGTTGGAATGTTCTTCCCTCCCTGAATTCTTTCATATCTCTGTTCACATGTCACCATATCAAAGAGCCGCTCCTCACTTCCCTTTACAGAATGGAAAACCTTACCTCCTGCCAGGCCCTGCCTCTGGTACTCCCTCTCTCTCATTTCCTGCTGTAGTTTTATGAGTGCATAGCTCATCACCTGGCATATATTTGTCTAGTTGGTTATTGGCATCTTTCCCCATTCAAATTATAAGTTTCATTAGGGAAGGGACTTTGTTTGGTTCACTGTGACATACACAGTGACTGTAACAGTGTCTTGAATATAATTGGGGCTCAATACACCTTTACAGAATTATGGGGAATCAATCAGCGGTCAGAAAACAAAAATAAGGTACAAAAGTAAGGCATTACTCTTATCTCTCCACCAGGTGGCGCTATATTCTTTAGCAACTGCAGCTGCCATGCATAGTGGCCGGGAGGGAAGGTAGACAAAAAAAATCACAGACTACGGACCTGCAGGCCTCAGGCAGGTCAGCCTGGGGACTGAGCCAGGTTATATAAGGTCCCTGTGCTGACCTTGTCTCCCCAGTTGGTAAGTGTTTTGAGCCTCTAAAAAGGGATGGATTTATAAAGATGGGTATGGATAGAAGCCGAAAAACCTGCCAATCCATCCTGCCCCATCATGAGTCATAGGGTTAAGCACCCAGGAGTGGCACTGAGCCCGGCTTTTCTAGTTTCTGGTCACAGAAGCCCATTCACCCCTGTGCCAAGTAAGGCCCTTCTACTTCTACACCTAGCCTTTCCTCCCCACTAGCCCTCACTCTCAGAGGGGAAGGAGCAGGCAGGGTCGTGAGGATTCACTGGGCATATGGGGGCTCTCACCTCTTTAGGGGCCTCGCTGCAGATGAACTCCTCAAAGATCCGGTGTGCCCTGGAGGCCCGCTTGGTAGCTGATTGGATCTTCTTGAACTCCTCACAGGCCAGCCAGAACTCCAGGTTCTCCTCACTGAACTCCGTCTTGAGGAAAGCGTGGAAAGCAGCCACTCCATCTGGGGTTACAGGAAAGAGGCGGAAACAGGTCAGCCAGAGGGACAGCAGGGAATACAAGAAGAAAGGAAAGCAATTGCACTTAATGGCTCTATTTTTAGAACATAATTTTCTTGAACAAGGACCTGCCTTTGTGTGTTGAATAGAGGCTGGCACACTAGGGGATCATTATTATTATTATTATTACTACTACTATTATTCTGCCCAGGCTCTCAGCAGTCCTGGAGCTGGTTCCAAAGCACATGAGTATACACGTGCCACCCAGAGACAGACACAAAAGGCTCCTACTCACTTTTACTGCTCAGCAGCAGGTCGAACGACTCTCTCCACCCCAGCACATCTTCTGAGAAGTTTCTACTAAAAGACAAAAAGAAAAAAAAGAGTAAGAAAAAAAAATCAACAAACCAAAGCATAGTACAAATTCTAGCCAGAACTCTGATGGAAAATTGCATAAAATTCACAGAAAGGCTTGCTTGGTGATTGTTGAAGCTGACACCTCAAACTCCTAGTTGGACTTAGGGTAAGCAGTAATGTTTTCTAGAGGACAATTCGGCAACCAGAAATCAAAGCCAGGGACTCCTTTAGTCTTCAGTTAATATCTCTAAGCCTGTCTCTTCTCTGTCCAAAAATTATTTCAATTCCCCTGACTCTCAAAGATTTGTTTTGTACACCTTCCCAAGGACATAAGGGCCTCATAAATAGAGATTACATCTACACATAACTCCAGAGTTTGGTACAGTTGATAGCCAATATGAAAGGGTTTCTAGGCAAGGTGCATGCTAGAGTCATTAATAAAAACCTCAAGTGGCCTTGGACTCTGTCCTAGCCCTGGATGCGTGTGCAATGAAACCCCAGGTGGGAGAGTCTGGTTAACTAGGCATTCATGCCCTGTGTGCCCTCATCCGTGGATGGACTTGGAGCCCTGGAGCCACCTACCCACTCACCCATGAGCCAAGTAGTCATAACAGACCAGCAACAAGTCTCACTAAAATCTCTAGGGAGGCGTTGCCAAGATCCACTTAGTGTGTCCTGGCTTCTCCTTATATTTCCCTCCTTCCCGCTCCCTTCCCTCTCGGAGCCCTGAGCTGGTCAGCAACACTTACTTCTCTTTGCCGTGTTTACTGCCCCACTCGAACTTGCCACTACTCCCAGTATCACAGCCCAGCTCTGATTTGTGAAGAAAGATCCCCAGACGTGTCTTGAACTCTTTGGCTCTGAAAAACAAATCAGGAACATGAAAGGATTCTCATTTGCTCAGCCAGTGTGGAGAGGTTTATGTGTCCCAGAAGAGCTCTGGGTGGTGCCACCCAAAGTTTAGCCTCAAGAGTTCCTGGAAACTCTTGGCTGTTCCCAGGACCCAAATTGTGCTTATCAGCATCATCAACCCCAAAGCAACAAAAGCAATGTTTGAGCTATGCCGTGGTAGACCTTACACTTTCTGGGTAATACACACGCTCATATATGGGCTTTTCCCTAAAGTCACACTGATCTCTCTTCGTGCCTGTTGATTCAGAAAAGAACTCAGCATTCTTTTCAGGAGTATTTCTGAACTGTGGGAAACTGATTCCTGCCTTCATCTTTACGTTTTCCTTCCCAGCCAGTAACGACTGGAAGCTGTTGAGTTGCTCTCTGGAATATGGACACACCCTCAACAGTGGGATCCCCCTGCCCCACCACACCCCACAAAAAAAAAAAAAAAAAAATCTCCCTGCCTTCCAGGGGCAGAGGAGGCAATGCCCCTAGCTCTGGTCTGAGGAATGAAAAACAAGTGCTTAAGCAATAGGCAGGCTCAGTTCTGCCTGGAAATGTCAACGTGGCCTTCCTGCAGCCAGGTCTTCAGCAGGTCACCTGAGCACGACTGCAGTTTGTCAGAGGATGGGGATGGCAGCAAGCAGCGGGCCCTTGCTTCCCTTCCCCTTGCTTTCTCCCTGCTCCTGGAATCTAAGCACGTGGCATCAAGTTCGCCTCTACCTCTCTACTTAAGCCTCCAGCGCCCCATCCCCGCGCCCACCCAGGTCCCCAGGCCTGCCGCTCCACTCCCTAAGAGTTGGTGGGACTTCCCCCAAGCAGTTGGACAAGCTCCCCTTACCTCTCCAGGCAGGTGGTGGGGAAGGCGGCCAGGGTACGGCACATGGCTGCGGGCGCGGGGCAGCACGTAGCCGGCAGGATGGTGGCAGGCTCCAGGAGGCTCCGCGAGCGCTAGGAAGCAAAGCGCGGTAGCAGGTGCTAATCAACTGGGGTTGGCTTTAGCAGCCTGCAAGCACCCAGACTTCGCGGCCGCTGCTTTAATCCCCTCGGAGGAACGGGGCTGGGCACTGCTGACCAATCGGAGGGCGGGGCTGGACACTGAGAAGGCGGAGGCGGGGCCCACAGCCAGACTGGGCCGGGCGCAACTTTCGCGGCAGCTGGAGCACGCGGAGCTGCACCCTCCCTCCGGAGGACGCCGCGTGTGGAAGGAGAAGCGGCAAGAGAATTGGCACGGGGATGAGACGTGCACACCCAGTTTCCTAGGGGAAAATACCTGCTGACCTCTAGTAACAACAGAAAACTCACGCAGCGGTGTCGTGTTGCAAGAGATTCCACGGGGCTGGTGGGTCTGAGAGGCACACAGGGCTTTGATCGCAGGTAAGTCTGAGCCTGCTGGGTCCTGAAGGACAGGCGCACAGGGTGCAAACCTGGCAAAACAGTTTCTTTTTTTTTTTTTTTTTTTTTTTTTTTTTTTTTTTGAGACGGAGTCTCGCTCTGTCGCCCAGGCTGGAGTGCAGTGGCCGGATCTCAGCTCACTGTAAGCTCCGCCTCCCGGGTTCACGCCATTCTCCTGCCTCAGTCTCCCGAGTAGCTGGGACTACAGGCGCCCGCCACCTCGCCCGGCTAGTTTTTTATATTTTTTAGTAGAGATGGGGTTTCACCGTGTTAGCCAGGATGGTCTCGATCTCCTGACCTCGTGATCCGCCCGTCTCGGCCTCCCAAAGTGCTGGGATTACAGGCTTGAGCCACCGCGCCCGGCCAACAGTTTCTAATTATACTGATAAGTACCCTTTACGAGGCTCCTACCCCGATGGACATGGGGCTAAGTAAGATCTTCTTCTTCATCATCATCTCCATTTTATAGTTGAAGAAACCGAGAATCAGAAAGCTAAATAAACTTGCTCAAGATCACAGTTGGAGATGACAGACAAATGGGATAGGGATGAGTATTTTATTGAACACCTACTATGTGCCAGTCACATAACTAAGACTCATATTAAATAACTTGCTCAAAGATGTGCAGCTAGTAGGTGTTGGCTCCAAAATTCAAATGTGAATTTACCATTCTTTTTCCATTGCACCCTCCCCGCTCCCCCCTCTCCCCCGCTCCCCCCTCTCCCCCGCTCCCCCCTCTCCCCTGCCCCACACACACCCGCAAAGGTTAGTAATCCAGTCACAGCTATACCTGTGGACGATCCTGGGTTTAGGTAGTTGCTACCTTAGTGTCTATCTCTGAGATAAAGGTAATAAATACCCTGCCTCTCTCCTCACCTTCCCACAAAGGCATTGGGATTGCTATTAAGAGGCTGCATGTGAGGTTAAGAGTACAGGGTCTAGAGTTAGATTTTCAGGTTTCAAGTCATGGCTCTGCCAGGTGACCTGCTGAAGACCCAGCTGCAGGAAGGCCCCGTTGACTGTTAACTGGCTCTGCCAGTTACTGATGGGAGACTAGGCAAACTGCTTAACCTTTCTATGCCCCCATTTCCTTGTCTCTACGAAGAGAACAACTTATTTCATAAGGTGGTTGTGAGAACTAAAGAAATTAATTCTTAGTTTGAGTTCCTAGGAACCAGACTCAGGTCGACACTTGCATGCAGGAGGTTTACTGGGGAGAGTTATCAGAATTAAGAGGGAGTAAAGGAAGCAGGTCTGGGCAGAGGGAGGAGTTGAAGGCCATGCCATTTCAACAGAGACCCCAGCTGGTTCCAGGGAATGCCCTGAAGCTCAGCTGGCCCTTTGGAACTGTCCACTGAAGCAAGAGGACAAGGCCCTGGTAACCCCATAAAGACCATTCATTGCATACAGCTGCCCAAGAAGACCGCCTAATCTTAAGGCAGTGCCCTTTGTCGATCTATTCCTGGAGAGAGACTAACACCCTGGGAAATGATGGCCACAGTCCCCAAGACGTGATCTGGGTGGCACAGCACAGCATCCGCAACAACATATAAGGTGCTTATATGACAGTGCTCAACATGTAGTCAGCACTCAATAAAATGTTATAATAGCTTTCAGTTTTACTTAATAGGGATACTGGGATTGCTAGCAATAAGGAAAAATAGTGAGTTTTTGGTGCCTCTTGGAATACAGTATAGGTTTTTATTTCATAAGAAGCATCTAAGAGTTGCTATTCCCCAGCAAGGCCTGCTCTATGTTCCTGGAAGTCAATGGTCAGAAAAGAGAAACAAGGGAAGAAGAGGTTCCCCACCTAAGAGGGCTTGGTGAGAAGGTTGAGAAAAGGCAGTAAGGGAAGGAAAGGGAAAAAAACACAAAGAGGGAAGGGGAGACTGTGAGATCGTGGTTGAGCTCTCTGGAGTAACAGAGGCCAAAATCAGAACACACTGCAGGGTCATTTGTCAATGCAGAGTTGCTGCTGAACCAGGGCCTGTAGAAGCTGACCCAGTTAGTCAAAACATAAGCACTCTGCAGAGGTTTTTTGTTTCTGTTTTTTTCAGAGAGGTGATCTTGCTATGTTGTTCAGGCTGGTCTTGAACCCCTGGTTCCTGGGCTCAAGGGATCCTCCTGCCTCAGCCTCCCAAATAGCTGGGACTACAGGTACATACCACCTAACAGAGTTGTTACCCTTCCCAAACCTCTTGGTTGATTGGTGGAGAACAGAGGCAGGCACAGCAGCAGCTCCTTCCTGTGTGGCAAACACACCTGGTAGCAATAACTGAAGCATACCCTGAGAATGGCACTGTATGGCAACATATATGAATGTGTGCTCCAAGCTCGGGAATCCAGAGTAGCCAACCTGGAGATTCATTCCTTGTCTACGAGGAACACCTGAGCCCCCAACCTGGCCCATGGAACACAAGCCATACAGGGAATGGAAGTCCTGAGTTTGGGTTGAATGAAGCTTGCCAGGTGGAAGCTGTTAAGGAAGGGTGCTAAATGGAAATGCTATACAAACTGCATGCCTTTTGCAAACAGTTGCGGTTCTCCTGCTCAGCCTGCTGCTTCTGGGCTATGAAGTTCTCCTGTCCAATCTGCTGATACTGGACTCTCTCCTCTGCATGTCAGCCCCCAGTAAAACCTAATGTCTTGTTTGCTGGCTCTGGGTCTCTTCTTTGGCCTCTTGAACCTGGTGCCATCCCCACGAGAGTCAATAGAGGTTTGGCACAACACTCCTGTTGCAGCACTATCTCAGATGCCAACATCCCACCTTCACCCCATCTTGCCAACCTAGGCTCTCGTTCTTCCTATCTCACATGTGCAGGGCTGGAATGGTTTGGGGCAGGAATTGGTAATGAGCAAGGATTGGGAGCAGAGCTACGGGGTACAGACAATGGAAGGATGACTTTTTGAACATCTGTGTTTCTCTGGTGCCTTCATCCATCCCAGCCCCATCAGCAGGGCATTCTGCTGGAGGAGTTCGTCAGCCAGGTGAAGGTTGTTTGACCTGGTGCAGCTGAGGCCCCAAGGCATGCTTTTACCACACAGCTGGGATGTGGGTGTTGTCTGTGAGACCTCTTTTCTCCATTTGACAAATACGAATTGATGGGTGGATCAAACCCAGGTTCACCCTCAGTAGCGCTGTATTTGAATCAGCCTGTACATGGTCATGTGACAACAATAAAATAATTACTTGGAAATCTCAAACCTTTCCATCCTTTCTGCATCCCTGCAAGTAGCCAGAAGTTTTAATTTCCATTTTGCCTATACACAACAAAACTAAGAATACCTGAGGCACTCTTAGTTAAGTGTACTGGAACTGGAAATAGCTGGAAATTGGACCGTCTCCCAATTCCTGAGCTAGTACTTTCTCCTGCTCTGATAAAGAAAGCAAAATAAATGGTGCCAGGAGCGGTGGCTCACGCCTGTAATCCCAGCACTCTGGGAGGCTGAGGCAGGCAAATCACCTGAGTTCAGGAGTTCGAGACCAGCCTGGCCAACATGGCGAAACCCAGTCTCTATTAAAAATACAAAAACATACCCAGGCATGGTGCGGGTGCCTGTAATCCCAGCTACTTGGGAGGCTGAGGCAAGAGAATCACTTGAACCCGGGAGGTAGAGGTTGCAGTGAGCCGAGATCGCTCCATTGCAAAAGAAACAAAGGAATTGATGCACAGTGCACAGACCAGCAAATCTGAGAGCACAGAGCTCCCTACTCTAGAGGAACGACCCTCTCCGAGTTCAACCTGCCTCTTTGTTGCCATGGTTACCTCTTCAGTTTCCAGGCAGAAACTTTTTGAAGTTCACAATTTATCCCAAATTCTCTTCCCAGCAGGTCGGTTCATATCTGCAGTTTCGGTAATGCAGGATGACTCGACAGTTGCTGTAAATCCAGCAAGTTGAGCTCGCTTATGAATTGCACTGGCTTTGACAAAACCTGACCTCATTTTTGCCCAGCACTCCCAGAGCAGCTGTGATCTCTTTAATGGATGGCAGCATGGGGGCATGGCTCTGCACCCTGGGTCATCCGGGGTCAGCAGTCTGGGCAAAGCTGTGGTCAAGATTAAATGTCCCACAGCGTCCCAGCCATATTGCCTTTCATCTCCTTCAGCTCCCAGCCCCCAGCACTACCCTTTCCATGGAGGCAGAAGTCTAGGTGGGGATCTTTGTCTACTGAAAATGGTAAGGGGAAATGAGAACACTTCCTCCATTTTTCTGATCCAGCTCAGATGATCCCCACAGTGGTCTAGGTCCTCCAAATTCCATCATCAATCTACATATTTCTTGTGTAGAAAGCAATCACATACATATTTCTTATGAATTTACTATATTCCCAAGTTGGTGGGAAAACAATAGCTTTTAAGACTCTTCCCTGAATTCAAGGACCTTATGATCTAGCTAAGGAAACAGAACTGCATGGTGGGGAGCAGGGAAAATGAAAGGAAATTATTGTTTGTCACAGAAACAGATGTCAAGGGAAGAGGCTGATCAGAGAGGATTGACAGCATTGAAAAAGAAGTGATGGAGCCATGGTAGCCAGTGAGAAGCAGGAGAGGTAGAAGGAGGCATCAAAGTGAAAGAAACAGGAAAAGCTACTATCATTTGCAGGTACAGCAAAGGTGCAGAAAGACTAAGGAATTTATTAAATGCTGCAGAAGCACTTAGGGTTGTGGGACACAATTGGATGCCACTTTTAGATTTAAGAGCATATCCTGAGGCAGCTGAATGAGGAGGCAGTGATCACCCCCAGCAGAAGTGAAATAGGCAATCACTGGGGACATTTCCCTGCTGGTTCATGACAAAAACTTTGGGCACCCTTTCCTTCTTGATAGGAGAAGTTGACCGAGTTCAGCCTGGTTGTAGGAAATGACTTTTACTATGATTAATGATTACTGTTTAGGGTATTGGGTGCAGCTTGCTTTGCTGCTATATTAGTCCTCTCTGGTTTCTTCTTTTCCCTCCCTTCCCACTTCCCCCAAACCTAGACTTGGAGGATGATGTCTAGACTCCTCTGTAAAGCATCTAAGGCTCTAACCACTTG